CTTTTATCATTAGCAGGGTGGATTATTGTAATGGACTCCACACTGGCCTTCCCAGAAAGACCAAAAGACAGTTGCAGCTCATTCAGTTTGTTGCTGCTATATGAGCAGAACCAGAATATATGAACATATCACCAGTCCTCAGGTCTTTACACTGGCTTCTGGTTATGTTTAGGATTCATTTTTAAGTTTTACTTGTTTATAAAAACCTCAATAGTCTCGGACCTCAATACATTGTAGATATGCTCACTGAATATAAACCTGTCCCTCAGTTCATCAGGATCACATTTCTCGATGTCTCAGAAGAGACTGACAAAAATGAATCTCTGTCTTCTCCATCAGAACTGTGTTTGTCTAATCTTTCTTTTCAAATTCAAATTGATTCTCGAAAGAATGGAATTGATAACATCTTAGCCCATAAACGACATAATTGTGTCCACAAAACTCTTTAAATTGAGCAATGGTTTGACCTCTGCTCTCGGTTAATTGAATGTTCACAGCATCAAAGTCTGGTTTCCAGTTTGGCTTGTTGCTGTGCACATAATACACATGCCAGTCCAGCTGGATCTGCAGGGTCAAATGCCTTCTAAAAGATCAGTGAGATAAGTCATTCTGGACAGCAAATACAAGAATTTTTTAATTTGTACTATTTTAATGTAATCAAGTTTATATTATGATCACATTATAATATAATATACATTTTGTTTACAGATGCATGAGGACAGTAAAAGCAGAGAATAAAAATGATTCAATAAAACATTTAAAAATAATTAAAAGAATAAAAAAGAGGATACATATATCAGATAAAGTGCAACCAGTCAGACGTCCACATTGTGCTCATTCAGTAAATGCACAGCTAAACAGTTGTGTTTTGAGTCTGGATTTGATTTTGACTACTGAAGCTAAGAGTGCTTTTCTGCAGCGATCCTCCATAGAGAAATGTGCCATCAGAATTAGTTTTACGTGTTTGACTTTGCAAAAGCTGACATCCGGAGTGGGAGTATGATTTTGACAGGTGCTGGGGTAAAACATTATAGTGATTTTATGTGTGTCTCAGTACATGGTTATTGTTTATGTTGTTAATAAAAGGAACAATCGTTTTCACACTTTGCTTCGTTTTTTCTTTCTTTTTGAACACTCAAAAGGCTACCATTTGCAGTTGTGCTTAAGAGAAAGATATGCAGTGGAGAGAAGAGACCTGATGCACCTGCTTAGAAGTTATCTTCTACACACACACACACACACACACACACACACACACGCACACACACACACAACAACACACACACACACACACACACACACACACACACACACACACACACACACACACACACAGGAACCGAAAGTAATAGTTACACAAGAACCAAAATCACAAAACAAAGCAGGGGAACACAATCATATATTAAGAACGAGTAGCCTACTAACAAACACTTAAAGGAGTAGTTCACTTATTAAAAAAAAAAAAAAAAAAAAAAACTTTTGCTGATAATTTACTCACCCCCATGTCATCCAAGATGTCCATGTCTTTCTTTCTTCAGTTGAAAAGAAATTAAGGTTTTTGATGAAAACATTCCAATTTTTCTCCATGTAATGGACTTCATTGGGCACCAAACGGTTCAAGGGCCAAATGAGTTTCAGTGCTTCAAACGGCTTTAAACGACACCAGACGATGAATAAGGGTCTTATCAAGAAAAATTAATAATAAAAAAAAAACTGTTCTTTTCGAACTTGTCCATCAAAATGAACTAATCCTTTTTCGAGTCATTTCTGATTCATCTCCTGGTATCGTTTAAAGCCCTAGAAGCTGTACTGAAACTCTCATTTGGACCGTTTGGTGCTCAGTCCATTTTATGGAGAAAAATCCTGGAATGTTTTCATCAAAATCCGTAATTTCTTTTCGACTGAAGAAAGTAAGAGACATGGACATCTTGAATGACACAGGGGTGAGTAAATTATCAGCAAAAGGTTTTTTATTTTTTTATTTTTATTATTTTTTTTAAGTGAAGTACTCCTTTAATCCAGACAGGAATTACAGGTGTGGAAAACCAGTCGATGAACGTCATGCGCGTGCACGCGAGGGGGAGTCAGATTCTGGCAGGGAGACCAAATTGACAACACCTCAAACTCACGCCATTGGTTGAGCGCTAACTCAAAATCGTTTTCGTCCTTATATAAGCGTGATTTTCCAGCAGAGTTCATTGTGTGACTGTGGTCGCAGATGGAGAGGATGGCAGCTCGAGTGTACTGCACTGTGTTATTGTGTCTGGCTCGATGCTGGAGCTCAACAGGACTAAACACAGGTGAGTTTCATGTTCTTTAACTTAATTACACAGCACGAAGAAATGCAACAAGTGCCTTACAAAAAATAACATCTCTGCATATTACAATTCTCAAACATACAGAGTAGGCCTAGGCTACAGACGTCCAGTTAAAGATGAATTTTGTTAGCAACATAAATAATTCCTATAAATTATATAAATATTTAGCCTGTTTTTATATTCTTAAGTTATTGTGTCTATTGTTATTGTGTCTGGCTGGATGCTGGAGCTCAACAGGACTAAACACAGGTGAGTTTCATGTTCTTTAACTTAATTACACAGCACGAACAAATGCAACAAGTACCTTACAAAAAATGACATCTCTGCATATTACAATTCTCAAACATACAGAGTAGGCCTAGGCTACAGACGTCCAGTTAAAGATGAATATTGTTGGCAAGCATCAGTTTAAATAAAAATTCCTATAAAATAATATTTAGCCTATTAGCCTATTTATATTCTTAAGTTGTGTTTTATCTATTACCCTTTCTCTACATATTCCATTGTAACACATAGATATTTTTTTACACTAAAACAAGAATATTAATGTTAATAAAAAACAAAAAACGTTACAAGATACTTTGCCACCAATCAGACTTTGATCAATCCTGATTTGATTAAATAAATAAATAAATAAATAAAGTTTTGCATTTAGTTTTAGTTTAGGGTTTGTTTTTGTAGATTAAAATGAATTTGAGAGATACAATTGGTTACAGGCTGTAACTTACAGCTCTTGTTTCATACTTTTTTTTTTTTTATTATCTGACATTGACACAGTTTAGGAATAAGTAGATTTCCAAACTACTTTGATTTGAAGCAGATAAATATAAATAAGTGAATAAGCTTGAGACACAAATTGCAAAACCACTGACTGTCCAGCCACCCTCCCTCATGCTCATACCATGGACAAGAACATGGTCAATCACAGATTTCATCAGATATTCAAAATGTTGTCTTTGCTGATCACCTTGACCTCTGTACTTTCGGGATTCTTCCCACCGGGGCCTCGCTTTCGATTTCGACTGTGTGAAATTGTCTCAAAAAAGGTTCAAAATTGGTTCAAAAGTCTTTAGCCTAAAACATTTAAAGAACCAAAATCCATGATGAATAAAACATTTGGCTTCTCTGTCATGTGTCTGTGTAACAGCAAACGCAGGAGTGTGTCCAGGCCCTAGATATCCGACAGAAGAGTGTACCTGGATAAAATTCGCGTCATGTGCCGATGACAGTGAGTGTGCCAACAATCAGAAATGCTGCAATAATGGATGTGGACTTCAGTGTATGGATCCAGTTACAGGTATTATATTTTATTATATTACATTATTTAGTGCTGTCAATCGATACAACAAATAAACTAATTAATTGCACATTTCTGTAATTAATCGTTCTTTAAAAAGTCCTTTGTATATTTTTATTTGTTTAATATTTGTTTGAAGATTGTAAGGTGTGCAGTTATTTTGAGGGAAACGCACAGCTAAAGTGGTTTCAAGCAGGACTGACCACATTACATGTTTACATCTCTTCACCAAATGATTTCAGTTTTTTCAAAGGTCCTTACAGCCAAGAACAGCAAAAGCACCAAAACCCACGACGAATAAAACCTGAAATTTTAAAGTAGAAAGACTGAAATAGTTCTTTCAAGTAAAATATATTCCAATAACATAAGGATACAACTTCCAAAATATTTTTCTACAGTGAAAAAATCATTCAGCATTCAGTGATATATTCTCTGTCATGTGTCTGTATAACAGAAAAGCCAGGAGTGTGTCCAAGGATAAACAGTGACATAAGGTGTATCATGAAGGATGACGAGTTGTGTGCCGATGACAGTGAGTGTCCCAAAAATCAGAAATGCTGCAGAACTGCATGCGGTGGAACTCTGTGTACGGCTCCAGTTACAGGTATTATATTTTATTATACTCTATTGGATTGTATTGTATTATAATGTATAGTGCTGTCAATCGATTAAAAAACCTAATTGATCACACATTTTTCTGTAATTAATTGCAATTAATCATTCTTTAAAAAGTTCTTTTATATATTTTCATATTGTAATAATTTCATATTTAATGCCCAAATGAATTTAGACACAACATAAAGACAGAAGCAAATATTTTAAACCTTTGTATAATGCGATATTTTTATAAAAAGCCATTAAAGGCACATGGAGTATAATTGAAATCGATCAAATTTAACATTTTTTTTTTTTTAGGCTTTATAAATATAAAAACCTTTAAAGGATTAGTTCACTTTTGGAAACTTTTGCTGATAATTTACTCACCCCCATGTCATCCAAAATGTCCATGTCTTTCTTTCTTCAGTCGAAAAGAAATTAAGGTTTTTGATGAAAACATTCCAGTATTTTCTCCATATAATGGACTTCAGTGGGAACCGATTTTAAAGTAGAAAGACTGAAATAGTTCCCTTTCAGTCGAGAACGTCAGAAGTAGTCAATGTGGACTGAATGGAGCTCTCTGGTGGGATTTCCTCCATTCAGTCGACATCGAATACGTCCACCGTTTCCTCCTTTAGGGAAAAGTAGTGGGTTGTATACGCAACCAGGACGTTGTTTCTAGTAAAACGTATTCCAATAACATAGGTGCAACTTCCAAAATTATTTTTTTTCTACAGTGAAAAATGCATTCAGTGTTATGGCTTCTCTGTCATGTGTCTCTATAACAGCAAAGCCAGGAGTGTGTCCAAAGACAAATGCTGAATTAGTAAGGTGTAGCGAGAAGGATCTCGAGTTGTGTGTCGGTGACAGCGAGTGTCCCAAAAATCAGAAATGCTGCGGCACTCCATGTGGTGGAACTCGGTGTACGGCTCCAGTTACAGGTATTATGATATGTTTAGGGCTGTCAAGCTATTAATTGCATCCAAAATAAAAGTTTAGATTTACATAATATGTGTGTGTACGGTGTATAATTATTTTCTATGCAAATACACACACATGCATGTATATATTTAAGAAATATTAAAGCTACAAAAGTTATTCAGTCAAGAGCGATGATTTATTTTCTCTCTTCTATTATTAACTAATGTTAATGACGGATCACAGCAGCAGGTTTGTTAGGCTGCTGTCACTTTAAGCACTTTTGCGTCTTATTGTACCTAAACCTTTTAAAAGCATTTGCATGAATGAGAGCGTGATCATGAGCGGTGGGGGTGGGGGGATGCTACAGGTATTATATTGTATTCTATTATAATATACTGTATAGTGCTGTCAATCGATAAAAAGAAAAAAAAACAATTAATCACAATTTTTCTGTAATTAATTGCACCTAACATACAAGTACTTTTATATATTTTTATATTGTAATAATTTCGCTGATTATTTTTACTTGCGGTAATCACCATTTTAATGTAGAAACAACGTAGACAGGTCTTGACTGCATTGCGTACGTCATATCACTTCGTCAAATGATTTCAGTTATTTTAAAGGTCCTTACAGTAACAGCAGCAAAAGAACCAAAACTCCTAATAAAAAGACATTCAGCATTCAGTGATCTGGCTTCTCTGTCATGTGTCTGTACAACAGTAAAGCCAGGAGTGTGTCCAAGCAGAAAATATGAACCAGCAGAGTGTACCTGGATAAAATTCACGTCGTGTGCCGATGACAGTGACTGTGCCAACAATGAGAAATGCTGCAACAATGGATGTGGACTTCAGTGTATGGATCCAGTTACAGGTATTTTTATTATATTATTTTATATACATATATTATGTTATGTTCTATAATGATATGTGTTATACCGAGCAACTGCACCAATGTGTGTGTGTTTGTGACCTGTGTTTGTGTGTGTGTGTGTGATCCAAAGATGGATTATGGCCCAGCTGAGAGGCCCATAGTGACTAGCACACAATTTATCTTGATGTAGTTGTAATATACAGTGTTAATTTTCTCCATCTAGATGTCTGTAGACTGCCTGTGGACCCTGGTCCTTGTGAAGCATACATGCCCATGTGGGGCTTCGATTCTGCTGCGGGAGAGTGTGTGTCCTTCATATATGGAGGCTGCCAGGGAAATGGCAACAGGTTCAACAGCCAGGAAGAGTGTGAGGAGTCATGCGTGAGAAGGGGTAAGACACACACATTACACTTGGGATAATACACAGGGACGGATTATGACTTGCAAAGGCTCTGGGGCCAATTATCTTCAAATTCAGGAGACCTTAGTTTATACATGTACATTTACTATACACAGGGTGTGATTTGTGGGAAGAAAAAATAAACAGAGGGGGGGATGTTTTGAAAAAAATAATATCATAAAAATAAATCATGAGAACATGAACTTCATCACTGCATTTGCAGGAAAAAAAATCTTTTTAACTCATGAAGTATCCTAACGCAATGTATTTACTCTAATAGCTTCCCACACATATATGAACTGTGATCATGCACAACAAAAAAAACGTGCAATAATTAAATCAATAGATTAATAGGGTAGGCTAAGTTATATCAGCCTCTCCTGAACCATGGATTGATTGCAAAGTTAAACCATAATAGAAACGGTTTTAGTGCTAAAGTGATGATGTTAACGTTACATCGCGATGCTGAGCTACAGTGAAGCTGTACCAGTCCACCAGTAAGCAATCATCCAGGTGGATGCTGCACACTGGTAGTGGTTGAAGAGATTCCCCCCTCTATGTAAAGCGCTTTGAGTGCCGAGAAAAGCGCTATATAAATGTAATGAATTATTATTAAATGATTGAAAAGACGGATGCATTATCCATGTTCGTCAATTCGCCTCATTCGTGTCGCAGAACCTTTAGACGTGCGTAAACGCGTCTTTTACATTGAATTAACATTGAAATCACTCATGCCAGATGTTCAAGAGTGAGTGACTAATCAAAAAACCTTTGCTTTATCTCAGTTGAGTGAAACACCGTGTGTATAACTTTGGCCATTCTCAGTGACTGGGACACTAGCTCTGCTTGTCATCATAGAAACAGAAAATCAGATTGTGATGTTTATTCTGAATAGCTGCTGCCTTCCTTTCTACAAACAGCTCCACAGCCCAGCGCCGACCTGCAACGTCTCGCAAGTGGTGATAGGCCATTGTCCGTGAGGTGTAACCAATCAGATCGCTCCGTGGGCGGGACATTGAGCAAGTCTGCAGACTCTTGCAGAGCGGCAGCTATATGAGAGTCAGCCAAAGTAGCGCATTTAAAAATAAAATAGATTTTAATCAAACCGCGGATCCATGATAAGTTTTCTGATCCGTCTCACCATTAGTGTAGTAGCACTGATCACTTTGAGGGGGGGATAAAAATAATTAAGAAAAGGCAGGGATACATTGACCAGAAAGGGGGAAATCCCACGCATCCCCCTCGGCAAATCGCACCCTGCATATACATACACTCACCTAAAGGATAATTAGGAACACCTGTTTAGTTTCTCATTAATGCAATTATCTAATCAACCAATCACATAGCAATTGCTTCAATGCATTTAGGGGTGTGGTCCTGGTCAAGACAATTTCCTGAATTCCAAACTGAATGTCAGAATAGGAAAAAGTTGATTTAAAGGGATAGTTCACCCAAAAATGAAAATTAAGTCATAAATTACTCGCCCCCAAGCTGTACCAACCCCGTAAGACCTCCGTTCGTCTTCGGAACACAAATGAAGATATTTTTGATTAAATTTGAGAGCTCTTGACGGCCCAGAAAGTCAATGAAGAACATGTTTAAATATCCCAAGTGACTACCGTGGCTCAACTATAAGTTTATCAAGCGACGCGAATACTTTTTGTGCGAAAAAACAAACAAAAATAACGACTTTATTCGACTATTCCTTTTCTTCCTTGTTGGCCTGAAACGAGACTTCCTTCGATTTCCACGACGCATGCGCGAGAATTATCGCGAGAATTAATCTCCTTCAACTACTTCAGTTCAGTTCTCGCGCATGCGTCGTGGAAATCTAAGGAAGGGTTAGTAATGGTGGTGTAATGGTGTGGGGATGTTTTCTTATCACACTTTAGGCCCCTCAGTGCCAATTGGGCATCGTTTAAATGTCACGGCCTACCTGAGCATTGTTTCTGACCATATCCATCTCTTTATGGCCAGATGTGAGGAGTCATGCAGAGTGTGAGTCACCGTGGTATAAGCCCAAAGGTCAATGCCCTTCGAGGTGTCCATTGTCGAGGTATTAATGGACTTCGGTGGAGGCAACGGTCGTTCATTAAGACCTCCGCTGTGCATCAGATGGTTCACACCTCGCCGTCGTCCATTTTATACATGGCAATGGACACCTCGTTGAGCATTAATCCTTACTCGAACAACTGCACCGATGTGTGTTTGTGACTGGTGATTTTGTGCGTGTGATCCAAAGATGGATTATGGCCCAGCTGAGAGGCCCATAGTGACTAGCGCACAATTTATCTTGATGTAGTTGTAATATACAGTGTTAATTTTCTCCATCTAGATATCTGTAAACTGCCTTTGGACCCTGGTCCTTGTAAAGCATACTTGCCCAGGTGGGGCTTCGATCCTGCTGCGGGAAAGTGTTTGTCCTTCATTTATGGAGGTTGTGAGGGAAATGACAACAGGTTCAACAGCGAGGAAGAGTGTGAGGAGTCATGCGTGAGAAACGGTAAGACACACACATTACACTTGGGATAATACACAGGGATGGATTATGACTTGCAAAGGCTCTGGGGCCAATTATCTTCAGAGAACTCCCATGTCTACAATGTTGGTAAAGACAGGGCTGCCAACTCTCATACATGTTTTTTCATTGTGTGAAAGAAGAGCGAAGCAAAGAGGACACTGACAGGGCAGGTTACTTTTGTTATGAAAGTCTCTGCTTTCAAATTCTGTCAATTTTATTGCTGAAATTCTAACAAATGCCATTTTGGTGCTCTTTAATGTGACGTGAAAGATCACCGTCGCACCAAAGTGGCACGTGAACTGATCTAAAGTTCTTCTTTAGTAGATATTAAATAAACAAGAATGAACTATATTGAAAGAAACTGTTCAACTTGAATGTGTCATGTAATCACTTAATCAGTGTTTCAACCAGTGTTGCCAGATCTCATGAGACAAATAAGCAACCAAGCCTGTGAAAACAAGCCCAAAACAAGTGACTTTTTTTTTTCTTTCTATGGATTCCCCCTAAGTTCTGGGAAGAGAAAAATAAATAAATCTTTGGGGATGGATTTTAAACTTTGGGTACAGAGTTTTAATTTTACCTCCACATGGACAGATTGGTAAACTGAAGATACAATTTTTAAATAACTATAACCCTGAAACGGGAGAAATCATTGATAATATTGGTGTGCAGCAATAAAGTGGTTCCTGCTATGATAAACAAATTAGTGATTTAGAAAAGATTTAAATAAACTAAACTGGTTTAACCATTCCAGTCAAATCCATTTAAACAGGTGAGGATGAGGCTTGGTCCATACGTTTTTCTTAAGACGGATAACACTTTAGCCTCATATGAAAAATACCACCACTGTTATCTCTCAAGTTGCTTCAGGTACCAAGGTGCAAATTAAACATATTTAACAGCAAAACAATTTGTCTGAACTGAACCCTTGAAATATCTCAAAATTAAATATCATTTAACATTCAACATGTTTTAGTTCTACATCCAGACGTTCTTGGTGGCCCACATTCAAACAAGAACATTATAAATAATAAAAACAAACTTAACAAAGACTTGTGAAATGAGAATGGAACCATCCTCTTGTTAGTTGAGGAGAGTGTGGTGACCCAAAAAGGGCCAATCAAAGTCAAAGTGGCACCACATGACGGGTACAGACTAGGCAGTTTCACTCTCTGTAGAACTTATAGCCTTACTTTATAGCCTTGTACTGATGTCTAGAAGCCAGAGCTTGAGCTGCCGAATAGTGATGTAGTACTCCAGTCTGATCTCAAGAGCGATTTCTGCTTTCTCGGACCTGTTCCTTCAAAGACTCTGACTCGGCATAGGTGGTCTTGTCCCCATAACTAAAAACTGCACTAAACAATTCCCAATCTAGCTTAGTCTTAAGGCCTAACTATTGATTATTAACTGGGGTGATATTAAATCATGAATATCAAAACTGATATGTCGGGACAAAATCTCAACTCCGACTTGCTTCCTCAAAGACTTGGTCTTGACTCGGACTCGACTTTATTTGAAAACCAACGGACTCGGTCTCGACTCCAACTCGACCCTTCAAAGACTCGGCCTTGACCTTGACTTAAGTTGGCATAGGCGGTCTCGTCCCCATCACTACTGTAGAAAGAAAAGGAAAGATTTTTCAAATGAGGGATGAGGTAAGATTATACTTCAGCTAGAACACTAGAAGATGGATACCTAGGATTCCCTAAACCCCATTTAACATTACAGTACTTTGAGGATTATCATCATTCATCAAAAACAGCTTTTCTCCCAAGCATATCCTGGCTCTAATAAAAAAGCTACAGTTACAGTGCTTGCCTTAATTAAAATCCATCTGCATCTGTCTCCCTTCTCTCTGATGCTGCACTGGTAGTTTACATGCCACTATTATTGAAGCACTTGAACATCTCTTGGCTTGGGGCAAAGTCCACATAATATGCCTCGTCTTCTCAGTCCGTATTTTATGTGGAGTATAATGCTGCTGAGTTTCGTGTCCCATTCTGTTCCTCAGTTTGGACTTGGCCAGGCTCATCTGTGAGAATCACTCATCCCTCTGCCTTGACTCGTTCTCTTTGGAGACCGTGAACCCAATGTCCGTAAGCCTCATTGAGGAGAACGGTGCTGCCATTTTTTTGTATTTTTTTCTGTGCTAGCGTGCTGTACGAGGTCCGCATGGTGTGCATGTATTTCACACTTACATACTCTGCATAGTGCTTTTGAGTCGTCCCCCATGACAGGTTGAATCCATTCTTTTACTCTTTTCTCGTTCTCCCAGTCTTTGTTACATTTCTTCCCATATTTTGCCCACTTTATCCCGGGCATTTGTTCCTCCAAAAACTCTCCTACAGTCCAGTCACCATCGGGTGCGCCTTGTGCGTATTTTTATTTAAACGTCACTGACTGACTTTTCCTAATCAAAAAAAAACAACCACAATTGCTCTGCCTCTGCTCTGATTGGCTTGTACTCATTAACATGTGAGTGGGGAAAAATATAGCAACTTTGTTTTAAATTCACTTAAATTTCACATCTCCACAAACTCATTGTAATGTCACATTTACCTGCCCTTCAATATTTCAGAGCTATTTTCCCCTCTGTCATGTTTAACAGTAAAGCCAGGAGTTCGTCCAATCACAAACGATAGAACAATAATGTGTTTAGTGAAGGGCGAAGAGTTGTGTCCCGTTGACAGTTGAGTGTCTCAAAAATCAGAAATGCTGCAGTACTATGTGTAATGGACTTGACTGAATAGATCCAGTTACAAGTATTATATAATGTTACATTATTTTATATTATATTAGTTTTAAGGGGAATGGAATAGAATTTTGGCCCTTCTTCCAGACCTGCTATTTTATTTATTTATTTTTACGTTTAATACATTTACGTTTATTAGTTAATGTTTTAATTTAAATACATTGTCATTTAAATATTTCTTGTGTACACTAATTACAATTTACTCTATAATTCACAGATTTATTTTACCGCAATGTTATTATTTAACATGTTTGTGTATGTAAGAAAACAATCACAAAAAAGTAATAAAATAAACTAAAGTCGTAATTTAGGCCACTAGTGTCCTGGGCCCATTTGCCTGACGTACTCTGCAAACGACCCAGTGAAAAACACATTCAGCATTCAGTGATCTGGCTTCTCTGTCATGTGTCTGTATAACAGTGAACCCAGGAGTGTGTCCAAGAAGAAAATATAAACTAGCAATGTGTCCCCGGGTAACTTTCATGCCGTGTGTCGATGACAGTGACTGTGCCAGCAATGAGAAATGCTGCAGCAATGGATGTGGACTTCAGTGTATGGCTGCAGTTACAGGTATTTTTATGTTTTTAGTTTTATTATGTTATATTAGGTTTATTAGGCTTTGAAACATGTCATTTAAGTGAACTTAAAATGCATTTTTGTGAAGACTGTTTTAACAGGCTTAATTAAAGGATAGTTCACCCAAAAATGAAAATTAGCCCATGAAGTACTCAACCTGAAGACATTCTAGGTGTCTATTCTTTCATATGAATACAATCGGAGTTATATTAAATGTCCTGGCTCTTCCAAGCTTTATTATAGCAGTGAATGGCTGTTTCTGTTCTGCATTCCATCAAAGTGCATCTATCCATCATAAAAGTAATCCACATCCGGGGGGTTAATAAAGGGCCTATCCCTTTAGGAATGAATATAACTGATCAAATATAACTATAGTTGATCAACAAATTAAGCCAACTTGTATGATTTATATTATTTTATATTCTTAAGATGCAGATATCGGATTCTTTGGAGAAAGTTGTATTGGTGCATCCAAGTCATTTTTACCTGCCCTTCAATATATCTGGACTAATATATATTAGCCCTGATATATTGAAGGGCAGGTAAATATGATTTGGATGCACCGATACCACTTTCTCCAGAACGAGTCCGATACCTAGCCTGGGTTTCCCCATGCTGCCTTGCCGCAGCCGATTTTTATTCGCGCTGCTAGGCAGTCTGGATACCATGAACCAAATTTTCCCCAGAAATAGTGAACCAATCACAGAACGGGAGGGAGCACAGGTGCATTTGACAGACGTACAGGTGCATTTGATAGACATCCGTAGCACCCAATAATACAGCTCTGGGCATTCGTAAACCACGCCTCAAATACGAGAAATTTAACGTGGTTTCCAGACCACGTTTCATTCTCAATGATGCGTGGTCTGGCGTTAGCCAGGCTATCCAATACCTGTATTTTCACTGGATTTGTGTTTTTTAAATGTATTTGGTAGAGAAACCAGAATAATGTAAATCATACGAGTTGGCTTAATTTGTTGATCAAATATACATATATTTCCTTCAGTCATTTTCATGCTTCAAGGGATAGGCCTTTATTAACCCCCCAGAGGCATGTGGATTACTTTTGATGGATGCAGATAGATGGGGATATTTTGTTTGTTTATTTATTTATTTAATAATTTTCACATTTGTTTAATAGCAAAGCCAGGAGTGTGTCCAATCAAAAAATATAAACCAGCAATGTGTGCCCGGATACGTTTTGTGCCGTGTGCCGATGACAGTGACTGTGCCAACAATCAGAAATGCTGCAACAATGGATGTGGACTTCAGTGTATGGATCCAGTTACAGGTATTATATTATTATGCTAGGTAGAGTTTTAAGGGGGGTTATGCAAGATAATTTTGGGCCTCTTACAGTTTTTTTTTTTTTTTCATGTGTCTGTATTACAGTGAAGCCAGGAGTGTGTCCAGTCAGAAAACCTAAACCGTGGATCTGTCCCCTGATGACTTTCATGTCGTGTGTCGATGACACTGATTGTGTCAACAATGAGAAATGCTGCAGCAATGGATGTGGACTTGACTGTATGCCTCCAGTTACAGGTATTATATTATATTATATTATATTATATTATATTATATTATATTATATTATATTATATTAGCACAGCTGTGATTCGGCCAAAGGCCCGAGGCCATCAGACTAAAAGTCTTCAGCTATTGACTCAAACTGCTTCTTGCTTCAGGTCACAGGAAAAAGTCAGGTTATTATATGATAACAGGTTATTATATTAAACATGTCCCACTAAGATTATTTTGTAAATTTGTGTTCACTAGCTTTAGTTGCAGGTTTAAAAACTACTTTGTATATAAAAACATTGCAACTATCTAGTTTGTATGTTGACAAAATATGAAGTTGAATATGAATACTTTTGAGCTTTTTTTACACTTTATTTATTTTTTATCATAAACAGATTTGTGTTTAGAGGTTACCAGAGAAATTGCTAAATGTATTTATGCTGTCAATCGATTTACCAAAAAAAAATATCAACTAATTCTACTTTATGAAGGCCAGGATCACTGATACTAGAACTGCTCCTGATGTCTAACTGGTAGGGAATATACGGAAATTGAATAGTTATCAAACACTTTACAGTCTTAACTACACAAAGCATGAATTAACTATAGATTAAGTCTTATTAAAGCTACAACTCTTTTAGCTTTTGTTCTTTGATTTAACACTTATTTACATCACAGCAACTGGTTTATTTTAAACTAACCATGTAGCAACGTTTTAAAAATAGATTGAGTACTCGCAATACTCACAATAAAACAATATTGTGCTTTACAGTTTTATTTTACTTATTCAAAACTCTTCACAACGTTCTTCTAGCAGTTCATTTCACATTCAAAAATACACTAAAACTAGCAAAACATTTAATTCATTTATCAGATCAACTCATTCTTCCTGACCACTAGCAGTGGTTTCACACAAACGCACTCCTAAAACCCAAACATCAGGTAGCGTTATACAATGTTCTTTTTCTTTACAAACAAGAATGACACTCATACTGTAGTAAGTAAGCATTATTGTAACATTGTCTATGTTTGCATTACTAAACAATCCCTAAAAATGATCACATTCACATTAAAACCATATATATTCTTGTGTGAGTTTTCAGTGTTTAGCCCAGAACATGCCAAGCCGACGGTCGGCCGTCTGGCAGATTTTGTGTCGGCCAACTAAGTTTCCTCAGTGTGATACGCACGGTTCCGTGCCGTTGGCTGAAAATAGTCCTCGACGGCTTGTTTCGCCCGATTCGACATGTTGAATCGCCGTCGGGGAAAGAGAGAACTCTGATTGGCTGTTCAGCTTAGTGAGAGTCAGTGCACGAGAATAAAAGCAAAAATGCAAGCAAAGAAGTCAAAACGGTAAAGATAGAAGGCTGTTATTATGTTACGTCATCTTACCTGAGTGTTCCTTGGCGAATATTTCAATATTAACATGAGCGGAGTGGAATAAAGAAAGTGTTTAGCAGGATTGATATTCAAAACGGTAAGCACACGCTACTTTGTTTACGGTATGTGTATCGGCAGCCGGCAGCGTCATTTTTCCTTTCTGAATGATGAATATAGACTAATATATCTGCAGATATAGACAGTTGGCTCATTAAACACACATTCTAGCTGACCGTCAGCTGCAGTTCTCTCGGTGTGTTCAAGTGCAGCTTTTTACCTCGACGAGAGGCGACAACACAGTCTGCTTCCTCAGCGCTAATTCGTTGGCGTCTGCTTGGTGTGTTCTGGGCTTTACTGACTGAGAGAGAGCGAGAGAAAATGTAGATAAGATCCCCTCAGAGGATGGAGGTATTTGACATTGTCTTTAGAGGCCACTGGTCAGATATTTTCTCTTTAACCAGTTTACAGTCTTACAAGAGTCTTTCCTTGCCATTAATTCTTGGATAACACGCTTAGGCCTACGTCTCTTTTCATTAATAATAATGTCTAGTGTGATGGCTGTGATGTATTTAAACCTACCAACATCCGTTGCCATGATTTTTGGAATGACTGATCGCAAGAGGAATAAAATTACGTTTTAGTCGCATAACATATTTTAATGGGATCGCCGTCATTAACAAAATTAATAAAGATGAATAATACTTAAAATGTAATTCACTCTGGAAGTAAAACTAGCTTTTCATGCCTTGAGTGTCTTGTGCTGAAAATCGCTTAATGTCATTAAATTGCCAGACTAAATCTGAATCTCTATCCATACAGGCTTGCCGTAAGGGAATCCAGTGTGTGCTGAATATTGTTCCCATGATGGTCAGTTCCCTGCCGGACAGAAATGCTGCTCAACCACCTGTGATCATGCATGCAGTGAAACTCTGCCAATTTAACCACCGGAAACAGTTGTGGGAATGATTTAGCATAATACATATTTTCTTTTACTTGAATCAATTCAGTGCTTTATTTCTTTTTCTCATCTCTTGTGTGCTTAATATTATTGTGCATTTGAGAAAAAATCTACCAACATTTTTAACCCAAATTAGAGTGTGTTGAAATAACGGATGCATATGGACATGGCTAGACGGCTAAC